GGAAGGAATTCCAGAATTTGGGCATCTTAGTAGTGGTAGCCAAATGCAAGGATACCATTTATGGAAATGAGGGTCATGCAAAATCTTGGAAAGTTGGATTGAACAAAGGCAGTCACAGAATTAGGGAGGGGCAAGGCTGTGCATAGATTTGAACACAAGGACAACATTTCACATTTCAGGCATTGTTACATCGATGCCAATTTGTAAAACTGCCACACTGATAGCATCAGGTTCTTTATTCATTCACAGGATGTGGGCAGCACTGGTTGGACCAGCACTTATTGCCCATCCTATCTTGAAAAGATGGTGATAAGCTAGTCGGTGTCAGATAGAATTAGCTTTTTGTTGGGCATCATTCACAAAAAAATTATTTTGTTTTCACTACAGCATTAAGAAAAATACAGGGTATGATAAATATGATTTGTTGATGAGCTGTCAGAGTACTCATAGTTGGGAAAGATTGGGAATTGTCGATTTAAAAAGCCTGTGTGAAATCCTGGGAGCTTCCCTATAATTATGCTGGAAGCTTCTGTGATGGTAGGAAAACCTTCTAATCAAAACCATCATTTCCCTGAAAAGATGCAGCTTTGTGTGTTGCATGTTCAAAGTGTCTATATGCAACTACCCTGTTCTGATCCCTATTGTCATCTGATAATAAGAGTCTGTCAACTCCTAGTGAGAGCAAATCAAACGCAGCCAGAATACTGAAGGACGTGTCAAACATGCAAGTAAAAAACTATCACAGGCAATGTAGAATTCTGGCAGTGCAAAAGCATCTAATTAAGATGTTTACTGCTCTTTTTGGGGAGTTTCAAAATTGTAAAGATAAGCGCTGGCTGTATAATCTCTTTATTTAGCCATAAGAACTAAAAGACAGTCATTTTCAAACAACCAGGGCAGGTTAATGAGGCAAAAAAAGTGTGCTGAAGTGGTTTCAATTTTTTGAAATTATTTTCTCTCACTTTTCAGTGCCTGGTGGGTGTACCATTATATTAACATGTCTGTATTCAACCATAGCTTAGTGTAAGATATATAGTGTTAAAGAATACAGTAATATATCATTAAGTGCTGTGTCATTATCATCCAAATGAGACATGGAAAGACCGTATGATTCACTGGTACTCCTCTGCTTCGCAGTCTAGTATTTTTTTTCTCTACCTGTGTTGAGTTGCCAACCCTCCAGGATTGTCCTGTAGTTAAACATTAACCTGTTGGATACTGAACAAAAAGGAGAAAACTAATATGGGTATCCCGAAAGTTGCTTTCAATTTTCCATTGAATATTATTTCTTTTAGTTGTAGCGTTACTGGAGATGGAGGGCACAAAGACACTTCAGAGAGCAGTTGAGTACAGAAAGTTGTGTGATAAAATCTTCAGGAATGACATCAGCTTGGGTTGATGTCAATGTTTACCCTTGGCCTAAAGAGGTTTAACTGGTAATTCTTGATATTAACAACTATTTGCTGTTAGTTAGAACTGATTTCATGGACATTGTGCTCTAAGTAGGAAGCTGAGGATGCAGAAAAAGGGTACAATGGGTACTTGACATGTTTCCAGAAGCTGGGAGAAGGTGATAAGGAAGGAGATTTCATTGGTCAAGATTGGAATGGGTGAGTGCAATATAATAACAAAGAACTGCTGATGATGAGAAGCAAGAATTAAAGTGGATGAATGAAAGATTTTTGTAGATACATCTTAACATGCAAAAAATACCAAACAGGAAAAGACTAGCTGTTCCAAGCAGCCTGTCCAAACTGATATCTCATTAACAGTTTCAAGAGATTTGAGAATTCTATAGATTCTGGAACAGTTCCAGCAGATAGGAGCATGGAACACCACCATTTTTAAAAGAAAGAAAGCGAGAAAATAGGCAATTATAGGCTAGTTGGCCTAACATCAGTAATGGGAAAATGCTGATGCTATTATAAACTATGTCATAACAGGACACAGAAAATACCAACAAAATTTCGCAAATTCAGTGTGGATTTATGAAAGGGAAACCATGCCGAATAAGCCTGTAGTTTCTTGAGGATATAACTAGTAAAATAGATTAAGGAAAACCAGTAGATGTGGTGTATTTGGATTTTCAGAAAACTTGTGATAAATATCCAGAGGGGAGGTTAATGTGCAAAATCAAAGCACAATTGATTGATGGTAATATATTGGTGTGGATTCAAAATTAGAAAGCATGCAGGAAACAGAAACAACGAGTAAGTGAGTCTTTCTCTGAGCAGAAGGCAGTGACAAGTTGGGTACTGCAGGGATTCGTGCTTGATCCCCAAGTATTCACAATATCAACAATTGGATAAGGCAATCAAATGTAATTTTTCAAGTTTGTTGATGACACAAAACTGGATGGGATTGAGAGTGGTGAGAATAATGTAAAGTGACTTCAAGGTGATTTAGAATGTTGAGTGAGCAAGCAAATGCACTGCGTACCATAAAATGTTGATGAGTGTTAAGTTGTTCACTTTGATAAAAGAAACAGACCACAGTATTATTTAAGTGGTAGTAGTGTGGGAAAGGTTTATGTATAAAGGCACCCAAAGAATCCCCCTCGTCCTCACGTACCACCCCACCAACCTCCGGATCCAACGCATCATCCTCCGACACTTCCGCCATCTGCAATCCGACCCCACCACCAAAGACATCTTTCCCTCCCCACCTTTATCTGCTTTCCGGAGGGACAACTCTCTCCGTGACTCCCTCGTCCGCTCCACACTCCCCTCCAGCTCCACCACACCCGGCACTTTTCCCTGCAACCGCAGGAAGTGCTACACCTGCCCCCATACCTCCTCCCTCACCCCCATCCCAGGCCCCAAGAAGACTTTCCACATCAAGCAGATGTTCACCTGCACATCTGCCAATGTGGTATACTGCATCCGCTGTACCCGGTGTGGCTTCCTCTACATCGGGGAAACCAAGCGGAGACTCAGGGACCGCTTTGCAGAACACCTACGCTCGGTTCGCAACAAACAACTGCACCTCCCAGTCGCGAACCATTTCAACTCCCCCTCCCATTCCTCAGACGACATGTCCATCCTGGGCCTCCTGCAGTGCCACAACGATGCCACCCGAAGGTTGCAGGAACAGCAACTCATATTCCGCTTGGGAACCCTGCAGCCCAATGGTATCAATGTGGATTTCACAAGTTTCAAAATCTCCCCTCCTGCTACCGCATCCCAAAACCAGTCCAGCTCGTCCCTGCCTCCCTAACCTGTTCTTCCTCCCACCTATCCCCTGCTCCCACCTCAAGCCGCACCTCCATCTCCTACCGACCAACCTCATCCCGCCCCCTTGACCTGTCCGTCCTCCCTGGACTGACCTATCCCCTTCCTAACTCCCTACCTACACTCACCTTTACTGGCTCCATCCCCGCCTCTTCGACCTGTTTGTTTCCTCTCCACCTATCCTCTCCTCTATCCCTCTTCTATCCGCCTCCCACTCTCTCCCTATTTATTTCAAAACCCCCTTCCCCTCCCTCTTTTCTGATGAAGGGTCTAGGCCCGAAACGTCAGCCTCTCTGCTCCTATGATGCTGCTTGGCCTGCTGTGTTCATCCAGCCCTGCACCTTGTTGTCTCGGATTCTCCAGCATCTGCAGTTCCTACTATCACTGACTTTACGGGTACTTTTTAACAGCCTGTTCAGATGTGTTATGAGAGACCTCTGGAGCAGGTGGGACTTAAATCCGGGCCTTCTGACTCAAAAGGTAGGGAAACTCCCGCTATGCCATAAGAGCCCCTCCTGGGAGTCCTTGTACACTGGTCACTGAAAGCAAATGTGCAAGTAGAGAAAGCAGTTGGAAAGGCAAATGGTGTGCTGCAAGAGGGTTGAATATAAGAACAGGCCTGACTGCAGCTGTATAGGACCTTGGTGAAACCACACCTGTAGTAAAGTGTGCACGTTTGGTCTCCTGACCAAAGAAAAGATACAATTGCCATTGAGAGTGTTCAGCAAATGTTCATCAGATTGATGTTTGACCTGGCAGAATTGTTATGTGAGAATACATTGAGTTAACTTGTCCTGTATTCATTGAAGTTTAGAAAAAATGAGAGGGCATCTAATTGAAACAAATAAAATTTTGATGGGGCTGGACACATTGAATGCAGGAATGATATTTCCCTTGGCTGGGCAGTCCAGAACATGGGGTCACTGTCTCAGCATATGGGATAGGCCATTTCAGACTGCAATCAGGAGAGGTTTTTTTCATTCACAGGGTAGCAAGAAATGGAATTCTCTACCGCTGAAGGCTGTGGAGATGAAGTCATTGAATATATTTGAAAAATAATCAGATAGATTTCTACAGGCTAAATGTGTCAAGGGTTATAAGTAGAGATCAGGAGCATGGCGTCAAACTTGAGGAATAGGTATGATAATGTTGAATGATAGAGTAGGCTTGATTGACTGAATGGCCCACTCCTGCTTCTATGTTTCTAATGGGAGCAGTGAAAAAGCAATTCAGAAACTCCAGACACTTATGAGCAACAAATCTGAAACCTTCCTCTTCAAACTGTCTAGGTGACTGAGATTAGTCCAGGAGATTACATTGTTCATGGTTTGGACCGTCTAGTGTTCTCCTTTGGTATAATCCAGTCTCCACCCTAGTTAAAAATAAGTCCAATTCTCAAAGTTCTTGGTTTGTATATGAAGCTGGAAGAGATCACACTGAAACAGCAAGGCCATGGTAAGTTTTGGAAGTGAAGAAAAACCTTTTAATCTTGATTCTCAGAAGTGAAACAAAAGTTAAAGAATACTCTTTGGAAATGAACATACTAATCATCCTGGAGCTCCATTTTGAAGAAAATAAGACCACTATGTGTCATTTAGTGTTTATTCCTTCAGGGTTATCTTTGCAATCAACTCTGGTATAATGATCCCACATATCATTCATCTAAAGCAAACAAAATAAGGGTGATGCTCCCTTTTACTTTCAAAAGGCCTCAGAACTGTTACCTTTCTAAAATTGGCCAACTATGAACCTTCAGGAAATACCACTTACCTTCATTCTTTCCATGCAGGCTTCCATCTTCAGCTGTTCTACTGCTTTTCTGGCCTGAGAAATACTGGCTGTGCTGTTGTTCGACATTTCCTGTCACTGTAAACCTTCAAATCAAATCACATGTCCTGAAGTTCAAGGGATGTAAAGTATTGAGATGTCAATCTAAATTGCATTCTTTGAGATAATACCATATGAAAGTGAATACTGTTATTTATGTTTAGTAGCACAGAACTTAAATATTGCTGAAAAATGACACTTTAATGCTTTCTGTCTTGCACTCATCATGATGTTTTGCAAGAATTCATATGCTGAATGAGAAAGGAGAGTGCAAGTTGACTCTGATTGACAGAAATATTACCATAGAGAAGGCACAGATTAATGCTTATTGACAGTTAACAGCCAAGGTTGTTGATTTGCTCGCCGAGCTGGCTTGTTCTCGTTCAGACGTTTCGTCGCCATGCTAGGTGACATTATCATTGGAGCCTCCGATGAAGCAATGTTATTTTACTCCGCTTGGAATTTACACTGTCTGGTCCGTTATGGTGAGTAGTGTCATTTCCGGTTTTGATCTGTATGGGTTTGTATATGGGGTCCAATTCTATATGTTTGTTGATTGCATTAGGGTGGAGAACCATGCCTCTCGGAATTCCCGTGGGTGTCTATGTTTGGGTTGGTCTACTATGGTTACCTTGTCCCAGGTAAACTGATGGCCTTCATTGTCTGAGTGTACCAATATTAAGGAGAGTTCATCGTGCCATTTTGCTGCTAGTTGATGTTCATATATTCTGATGGCTAGTCTCCTTTCTGTCTGTCTGATGTAATGTTTGTGGCAGTCATTGCATGATATTTTGTAAACCACGTTGGTTCTGCATGTTGTGGGAATGGGGTCTTTAATTCTTGTAAGTAGAGTGGCTGTGGTCTTGTGGGTTACCATGACTCCTAGTGGTCTTAGGAGTCTTGTTGTCAGTTCCTATATGTTTTTGATGTAGGGCAGTGTGACCAGTGTGTTAGGGTGTACTGTGTCCTTCTGTTTTGTAGGCATCTGTGGATGAAGTTGCGGGGATATCCGTTCATAGCAAGGTGCTCTTCCTCTTTCCTGTGCAGTTCTGGAGTGTTGCAGTGTGTCCTGGCCCATTTAAATAGTGTCCTAATGCAGCTTTGTTTGTGGACGTTGGGGTGGTTGCTGAGGAAGTTGAGGATTTAATCAGCGTGGGTTGCTTTTCTGTATACTGAGGTTTGGAACTCCCCATTGGTCATACGCACAACTCTAACATCCAGAAACAGAAGTTGATTGTTGTTTTCTTCTTCCCTTGTGAATTTAATCCCTGCAAACATGCTGTTGATGAGGTGTTGGGTCTCTTCTAATTTGTTGCGTTTAATAACGAAAAATGTGTCGTCTACGTACCGGATCCACAGTTTAGGTTGAATGTGGGGGAACTCATCAACAGCATATTCACAGGGATTAAATTCACTAGGAAAGAAGAATACAACAATCAACTTCCGTTTCTGGATGTTACAGTTGTGCGTGTGACCAATGGGGAGTTCCAAACCTCAGTTTATAGAAAAGCAACCCACACTGATCAAATCCTCAACTTCCACATCAACCATCGTAAAACAAAGCTGCATTAGGACACTATTTAAATGGGTCACAATTCACTGCAATACTCCGGAACTACGCAGGAAAGAGGAAGAGCACCTATATAAAATCTTTGCTATGAACAGATATCCCCGCAACTTCATCTGCAGATTCCTACAAAATAGACAACAATAGGAGGACACAGTATGCCCTAACACACTGGCCACACTGCTCTACATTAAGAACATATCAGAATTGACAACAAGACTCCTAAGACCACTAGGAATCATGGTAGCCCACAAGCCCACAGCCACTCTATGACAAACACTTACAAGGATTAAAGACCCCATTTCCATAACATGCAGAACCAACGTGGTTTACAAAATACCATGCAATGACTGCCACAAACAATATATCAAACAGACACTCAGGAGCTACAGATCTTTGCCAAAACTTTAAAGTTAACAGCCAAGCTTTGTTTAAATTTTAAACCAGGCAGGTTGACTAATTGGTCAGGGTATTATGCTAAGAACAGAACCAGTGAGAATCTGTCACCTATTTTGTTAAGTTGAAACAGTTGCAATGCCTGTACATGTTCTTTCTGTCAGCAAAGAACAGGGCTTTGTGTATTAATATTTGTAGCTTCTAGTTTACAAAAGGGTACTACACTGATTGACAATGCTAAATTCGTTGTCAGAATAATTCGTTGCGCATTCAGGATTATGCAACAAATGTTGTCCCGTTGCAGAATCACATTTAATATTAAGACTGTGCTGTGAGTTTTACAAGTGCAGATTGTTATTTAGTTTACAGTTTTCAGAAGCAAAATCATGTTGGATCAGGGATTAGCTGATGCGCTGGATTATTGCAGTGTACTTTCCCAGTTTTCAAAGTGATTGGTTCAAAGTCTCCCACTTCTGCTGAATCCAAAGGTGTGTGGTTCATTTCCTTCTCAGGGATCCTGGTGAGTGTAAACTGAAGTTCAAGTTCTGAATTGTGTATTGATAACTAATGAGATTTTTCATATTCATTAGGTGTGGTTCACCTCTCTGCTGTGATCATACAGTTGGTGAAAATGCATAAAACAGAGTGTTTTTCAGAAGTCCATATCAATTGGATTAAAAGGTGGTTACATCAAGTGTAAGGAGTAACTCAGTATGTCAGACTTATAAGTATGTGAATCTTAAGACTATTTTGCAGCAATTTTCAAGGGATGGGTGAAGATACAAAGTTGTCAACTATATGAAACAATTTTACTGATTCTTTACATAATACATTCAGAGAAGAATAGCATCATTATAATCAGCTTGAATTTTACAGCAGTGCAATTCTACCTTGAGGGTCACCCCAAAACTTGCAAAAATTTCCTTCAAGTTTGCTCCTGTTCCATTGTTGAACTTTGCTGAAAGAATGGTTAAGCTACTTACATGGCTAACCAGAAAAATACTAGATTGCAATAATTATGCTTGACCTATAGTGGTACATATTAACACAAGTGTAAAATTATCATGTAAATTTAATACAAGGTTTGGATTTGAACTCCTCTCTCTAGATTAGAGTCCAGTAAAATAACTATTACACTATGAATAGGAGCATAAAGTGCAAAAGTAAACAAGTATATCTACATACCAATTTTTAAGATAAATTGTCTGCACTTTTTAGACTGGTTATAGAAAAGATTTGAAAGCTGACACAAATGTACAAGAACATGCCTGAGATGGAAAATTAAGGAGGAAAATACATGATATACCATGCATTGGGGTTGTTTCTACTGGAGCAGCAATGATTTGTGAGATTAGAAAGAAATTTATTATTCTGTAGGGTTTTGAAAGGATGCATTGCGGAAGAATATTTTCTTAGGTCAGGGTAACAGGAAAATTTTTTGACCTAGGAAGGTTGCAGCAAAAATGCTTTATCACAAAGAATATTTGTGACATAGGCCAATGCATATTTAAAAGTGAAAAACAGCAAGGCACTGGACAAAGAGTTTTTAGGTCAGATTTAGATTTCTTGGAAAATAAAGCAAACATGTAGACAATGGGCTGAAAGGCCTCTTTCACTTGACCACCAGTTCAAGTTTCTTGCAGCCTATGTGGATGAAAGCAGGGTCTGCAAGGTGTATCAAAGAACTTGCCATGGCTCAGGAAACCACTCAATCAGAGGGAGTTAATCCAAATGTAGTGATATTAGGGGACAGTATAATCAGGAAGATAAACTTGGTAACTGAGAACAAGAATCTAGAAGGTGGTTCTGCCTGCTTGGTGCCAGGGTTTGGGTTGTCTGGTCTGGGCTTGAGAGAAACATACAGTGGGAGGATAGGAATCCACTTGTTGTAGTCCGTCGTAGGTGCCAATGATGTATGAAGGACTAGGAAAGAGGTTCTGCTTAAAAAGTATGCATGGCTATGGACTAGATTAAGATAACAAAACCTCAGAGGTAACAATCTCTACATTATTACCTGATCCACAAGCAAACAGGAGTTCAGAAAATTGAGGGCTGTTGAGGTGCAGTGGCTGTGTGCCTACCTCTGAACGAGGAGCTGCTGGTTCAAATCTCACCTACTCTAGAGGCAGTTCATAACATCCCTGGACAGGTTGATTAAAAATAACTAATATGAGAATTAAATGCATGGCTCAAAGATTGATGTGGGAGAAAAGCATTTTGATTCATGAACCACTGGCAAGAGTAATGGGGACAGTGGGACCTGTACCGTTTCTTCATCTGAACTGTGCTGGGACAAGTGTTCAGGTGAGTCATAGATCTAGGCTGGTAGTTACACGACTACTGCAAAACTAGTCAGAGGAAAGGGACAAAGTGAAGAAAGATGTGATAAATTTGAGAAAGGACAAAACAAGAGAGCAAGATAACAAGAAGTAACAAAAATATTATTGTTTGAATGTGGCAGGAATGGGCAGAGTATAAGAATGTGCCAGCAAATAAGGCTAGAGGTTGTGAAGGCAACAAGAAGAAAGAAGTAAGGAACTCTTATCATAATATGAGCATACAAACATATGAATTAGGAGCAGGAGTTGGCCACTTTTTCCCTCAAACCAGATCCACCATTCAATAAGAACACTGCTGGTCTGATTACAACCTCAAATCCATCTTCCCACCTATTCTTGACAGCCTTTTACCCCCTTGCTTCACAGGAATCTACCTACCTTTGCCTTAAATATATTCAAGGGCCATGCTTCCACCATATTTTCAGGAAAAGAATTCCAAAAACCTATGACCCTCAGAAAAAAACTTTTCCTAATCTGTTTTAAATAAGAGACCCCGATTTTTAAACAGTAACCCCTTGTACTTTATTCTCCAATATAGGAAACCTCTTCTCCATACCTACTCTATCAAAGAACTAAACTAAAGAAAACTGTGTCTGTCTTCAATGAGCAAGTTAAATTAATCACCCTGGAATACTGAAGAACCACGGGCTAGTGAAGTACTGAAAAAAGTATTTGTAAAAAAGTATTGAAGAAATTAATGGGACTGAAACTTGAAAAATCTCCTGGATCTATCATAGGATCCCTACAGTTTGGAAACAGGCCTTTCAGCCCAACAAGTCCACAGCAACTCTCAGAGCATCCCACCCAGACCCACCCCCCTATAACCCACATCCCTCAACACTACGGGCAATTTTTCATGGCCAATCCACCTCGCCTGCACATTTTTGGACTGTGGGAGGAAACTGGAGCACCCGGAGGAAATCCATGCAGACACAGGGAGAATGTGCAAACTCCACACAGACAGTCACCTAAGGGTGGAATCGAGCCTGGGTCCCTGGCGCTGTGAGGCAGCAGTGCGAACCACTGAGCCACCGTGTCACCATGGACCTGATGATCTATATTCCAGAGTGTTGAAAGAAGTGGCTGTAGAATTAAATATAGTGTTCATCTTTCACATTCTACTAATTCTGGAATTGTTCATGTGGTTTGAGAAGCAGCAAATGTAACCTCACAATTTAAATAAAAAAGAATGAGGGGGAAAGATAACAGGGATCTATAGACCTGTTAGCCTTACATCAGGAGCAAGGATAATGCTCACATCTTTGATTAAAGATGTGGCAACTGAAACCTTTTGAAATAATGATAGGATAAGACAGAAATCAACATGAAGTTATGAAAGTGAAATCATGTTTGACAAACTGACTTTTTTTGAGGATATAACTTGCAGAATTGATGAGGGAGATTTGGTAAATGTGGTATATTTGATTTTTAGAAGGTTTTTGTTAATGTCCCGCATAGAACATGATTAAGTGATTTTAGTACACGTGGGATTGGGTGACATCCCGGCATGGATTGAGAATTAGTTAACAGGGAGAAGATGAACAGTAGGAATAAATGAGTCATTCTCAGGTTGACAAGCTGTGACTAGTGGGGTACAGCAAGGATGCTTGAGCCCTAGCTATTCACAGTCCAATCACAATGTTTTAGATGTGGGGACTAAATGTAATATTTCCAAGTTTGCTGATGACATGAAACTGGGTAGGAATTTTGTAAGGAGGATCTAGAGACCAAATGGCCCACTCCTGCTCCTATTTCGTATGGTTGGTGCAACCAGAGCATTCCTACAGTGTGGAAGCAGGCCATTCAGCCCATCGAGTCCACACTGATCCTCCAAAGAGCATCCCACCCAGTTCCAATCCCGTAACCCTACATTTCCCATGGCTAACCCATTTAGCCTGCACATCCCTGGAGACCTGAGGGTGGAGTCGAACCCAGGTCCCTAGTGCTGTGAGACAGCAATGCTAATAACTGAGCCACTGTGCTGCCCCAGCGAAGTTGAGGTTGTACATTTCCCAACCCCCTGAGAAGAGAAGAGAATACAAAAAAACCTGCTTCCCTTCATCTTCAAAGCCGAGGTCAGATGCAGAACAGATTTTTCACTTTGATAACATAATCAAGTAATTCTGCTAATTGCTGATGTGACTCATCTTGCAGAAGTATGACATATGAGTGCTATTTTTCTCTGGAGATGGCGAGAAAGAAGATGTAAGTCATTGAACTGGTTTTTCTCCCATCAGTATCTGCATACAGATGTTATTGTGGAGCTGGAACTCTCAACCATGAACCATATCAAGGATGCCACAGTAGTGAAGTTCAAAATAAATAGTCAAATTTCAGAGATAGTAGGAACTGCAGATGCTGGAGAATCTGAGATAACAAGGTGTAGAGCTGGATGAACACAGCAGGCCAAGCAGCATCATAGGAGCAGGAAGGCTGACGTTTCGGGCCTAGACCCTTCATCAGAAATGGGGGAGGGGAAGGGGTTCTGAAATAAACAGGGAGAGAGGGGGAGGCGGATAGAAGATGGATAGAGGAGAAGATAGGTGGAGAGGAAACAGACAGGTCAAAGAGGTGGGGATGGAGCCAGTAAAGGGGAGTGTAGGTGGGGAGTTAGGGAGGCAATAGGTCAGTCCAGGGAGGACGGACAGGTCAAGGGGGCGGGATGAGGTTAGTAGGTAGGAGATGGGGGTGGGGCGTGAGGTGGGAGGAGGGGATAGGTGGGAGGAAGAACAGGTTAGGGAGGCAGGGACGAGCTGGGCTGGTTTTGGGATGCGGTAGGGGGAGGGGAGATTTTGAAGCTTGTGAAATCCACATTGATACCGTTGGGCTGCAGGATTCCCAAGCGGAATATGAGTTGCTGTTCCTGCAACCTTTGGGTGGCATCGTTGTGGCACTGCAGGAAGCCCAGGATGGACATGTCGTCTGAGGAATGGGAGGGGGAGTTGAAATGGTTTGCAACTGGGAGGTGCAGTTGTTTATTGCGAACCGAGCGTAGGTGTTCTGCAAAGTGGTCCCCAAGCCTCCGCTTGGTTTCCCCGATGTAGAGGAGGCCACAACGGGTACAGCGGATGCAGTATACCACATTAGCAGATGTGCAGGTAAACATCTGCTTGATGTGGAAAGTCTTCTTGGGACCTGGGATGGGGGTGAGGGAGGAGGTGTGGGGAACAATCCCTCTTCCGTACCTACACTGGCCCTAAACCCCACCACTTCCTTCGTTACATTGATGACTGTATCGGCGCCACCTCGTGCTCCCACGAGGAGCTTGAACAGTTCATCCACTTCACCAACACCTTCCACCCCAACCTTAAGTTCACCTGGGCCATCTCTAATACCTCTCTCTCCTTCCTGGACCTCTCTGTCTCCATCTCGGGCAACCACCTAGAAACCAATATCCATTTCAAGCCCACCGACTCCCACAGCTACCAAGAATACATCTCCTCCCACCCACCTTCCTGCAAAAATGCCATCCCCTATTCCCAATTCCTTCGCCTCCGCCGCATCTGCTCCCAGGATGAGGCATTCCACTCCCGTACATCTCAGATGTCCTCGTTTTTCAAGGACCGCAACTTCCCTCCCTCAGTGGTCGAGAACGCCCTCGACCGTGTCTCCCACATTTCCTGCAACTCATCCCTCACACCCCGTCCCCGCAATAACAACCAAAAAAGAATCCCCCTTGTCCTCACGTACCGCCCCACCAACCTCCGGATCCAACGCATCATCCTCCAACACTTCTGCCATC